CGGAGATATTCACGTTTAAATTTTGAACGTCCGTGAAAAATTCGGCGTAAATTTTCCGTAAATTTTCATAATTCTGCTGGAAATTTTCATTACGTCACGATAAATTTCCAGCAGAATTACGAAAATTTATGGAAAATTTATGCTGAATTTTTCACGGACATTCAAAATTTAAACGTGAATATCTCTGCGGATATCGATGCTACAGGAATAATTTACATATCGTCTTGTAGCCAAGAACTAGGGCTTTCGATCTGTCATAGAAACACCTTAGTAGAAAATCACTTCTGTCTCGTAAATTGTGACCAAAGTCAAAAAATTAAATTTTTGGGTGTAAATTTCTGTGGGTCCCGTTTGTGTTATGAAAATTTACGTCCGAAAAATTTCCTAATATAATTACAGTTAACAACATAAAATTACATAATACAAAATATACAACTTATTCTAATATTATTTTGAAAAGATAAGACTCAGACCATATATGTTTCTAAAATTGATTTTGGATTTTTGAGATATTTTGACTTTTTAAAATTTATGTAGAATTTATTTTATATATAGAAGTAAAAAAATATCTAGTTATATGTATATTCAATCAAAAAATAAATCTGGGTAATTAAAAAATTTTAAATTTTAAGTATAATAATTTTATCTTTTATAAAAAACTATTTTGACTTTTTTCTTCGAAATTGTAATTTCGGAATTCCAAAATGATTTTACATACAAGTATAACTCAGACTAACTTATATAAGACATATTCACAACCTACCGCCTGGTGTTCTAATATGTTATAAGTATGAAACATTCAAATAATATATTAAAATGTTATATTTTAGTATACTATAAATACAAAATATTCAAATAATACATTAGAATATTGTATTCTAGTATATTATAAGTACGAAACATTTAAATAACACATTAGAATGTTATATTCTAGTATACTATAAATATGAAATGTTCAAATAATACACTAGAATATTATTATAAATACAAAATGTTTAAATAATACACTAGAATGTTATATTCTAATAAGTTAATATCATTTAAATAATACTATAGAATAATATTTATATAGTATTATAAAATATTTTTATTTAATTCCTAATGTATCAATATTGTTTACTTTATTTAATTTTATTACAGTATATTTAGTATTCCTAATGAATCAAATTGTTTCAGGTTAATTTATGTAATTTAATTTAAAAGTACAAATCAAATTAAATTAGAGTTAATAATTTTTAAATTCAATAGTTAATTAGGGTTAATTAAGATTTATAAATATTATGTGATTTTAAAAATTATTATTTTAAAAATATTTTATATACTAATAAAAATTATTTCTTATATTATTTTATACATATTTTATTAGTATTATAGTAATTATTCTTATATTATTTTTTAAAATATTCAACAATAAAATATTTTATAAATGTTATATATTCTTGAAAATTTTATTTTAAAAATATTTTATATATTAATAAAAATTATTTTCATATTATTTTATATATATTTTATTAATATTATAATAATTATTTATTAGTTTTTTAAATATTTAATAGTAAATATATTTATAAATATTTTATAATATACTGTTTTAATAATTTTTTATATTTTAATAAAAAATTATTTTTAAGATATTTATACATTTTATAAAAATTTTTTTTTAATTAATTTAAAAGTTATAATTATTAATTTGAAAAGTTATAGTTACTTAATTTTAAGTTAAGATCATATTTTTGATTCAATTTGAAGATTAAATCAATATTTTAAAATTCAAGTTGATTTAAGTTAATTTAACTTATTAAGAGTATTAAATATGTCCTATATAATATTTAATATTTATCCTATATAAATTTATTAAATTTTTGTTACATATTCTTTAAATTTAATTGAATAATAAAATTAATGAACTAATATAAAATCTCTAAATTAAATCTTTCAAATATAAATATTATTATAAATTATTATTAAGGTTACTAGATAAAATTTACAGTAGTTTACAAAAATACTATAACATTTAATTTTTCATTTTTAAAAAATTTCAGCTTTTAAATGATAAATTTTAGAATAATAGTTACTATATATATTTTAATCTTTGAGATTTGAAAATTTTTTTGAGATATTTTTGGTATCAAATTTATAATCTTGATTTTGTATAAATAGATAATTAACATTGTAAATTGTCACTTAATAAAAATTTTAAATGTGAATAAAATTTTATATAACATGTTAAATTTTATAGTAATAGATTAGTGATTACTGAGAAATTAACTCTTGAAAATTGAAATTTTACATATAAAATTAATAAAAATAATTTTTTTTATACTATATATAAAATTTCAATTTTCAAAAGTTAATTTCTTAATAACTACTGATCCAATTATTATAAAATTTGAAATTTGACATGTTTGTTTTCTAGCATTGATATTTGTTAAGTTATTATTATCTAAAAACAAATTTTATATTTATATTAATTTTATATAACAAAAAGTTATAATATTTTTATATTATTTGAAGTCTTTATTTAAGTTTACAAGTTATTATTTTATTATCAGTATTCATCAGGTTATAGTTAAATCAAGTTTATTAGACTTGAACTTGACTTGCACTAGTCAAATACAAAAGAATCACTATATCAAATAGTAATTTCTATACTATAGATCAGTTAAAAATCAGTAATAATCAACCAACCTATTGCATCCTATATTATAATTAGCAAAAATTGAATTTCCTTTTCAGTATAGCATATCTTTTATATTTGACCTGTATTTAGATAGCTAAAAATCAGTAAAAATCAACTATCCTATTGCATCCTATATTATAAATTAGCTAAAATTGGAATTCCTTTTCAGTATAGCATATCTTTTGTATTTGACCTGTGTTGAGGTTCAAACTTTAAACTTGAGCCAAACTAGATCTATGAAAAACTTTAGAAAAGGTAATTTTATTAAGAGAAAAAGTTAAAATAATAAATGTTTCAAAGAGAGGAATCTGTCAAAGTGAATAATATTATAATAGAGATTTTGGTAAAAAATATAATGTTATATCATCCTTAGAATGAAATAAAGATCTGTGATGAAAGTTAATAATAAAAAAAAGTCAAAGATAGTACATTTTCAAATTACACTCCTATCACAAACCTTTATTTTGTTTTAATGATATATTAAATATTCTTGTCAAAATCTCTATTATAATATTATTCACTTTGGCAAATTCCATATTTTCTATTGTTTTTCTTTTTGAAACATTTATTATTTGTAACTTTTCTCTCTTGAAAAGATTAAATTTGAAAATTTTATATTAGTTCATTTTATTGTTCAATTGAATTTAGCAACAGCAAAAATAGGTAAACACAAAAAGAAACATGAATGCTAAAATTTAATAAATTTACATATCTAAACTTTTCTAGCATTTTGAATAAATAGTAGTATGTATTATTTTAAAATAGAATTTATATATTTGACTGTTCGTGCAACAATAAAATATGGAATAAAAAATAAATTGAATTTTTTATCTGCAATTTGTCATCATTAGTCTAATTTGTACACTATCAAAATCAAAAGTAATTATTAAAACATTGTTTAAGAATGAAGAACTACTCAAAAATAGTAATTTGTCACGGTAAAAAAAAAATATATGAACTTATTAGATATAAATAGAATAGTTCGTGTTCATTTAGATTTTGTCTCCATTTCAAGATAGTACATTTTCGAAATACACTCCTTTGACATCTTTTCCTCTCATTGACTGCTTGACATTATATTCAAAGTTTTTCCGATTTGTCCTTAAATCCTCTGCTGCGTCTATATATAAATATAATATAAAGTAGTTGAACGAAGATTGAGTTCATGATTATTAAAATTATTAAAATAAAACTAAATAACGAGAAATTAAAGATGATAAAGTTGATCATAATACATTACCTTTGTTAAGAGGATCATCAGCGTTTGGTTCCAAGAACAAATACTGTAACCCCACCAAAACAGAATTCAAATTCAATACAGGTTTCCAATCTTCACGAAGAATGTTCAAACATACGTTTCCTTCAAGATCAATATTAGGATGATAAATCTACCAAAAAAAATATTAATAATAATTAAAATGCATTTATTAGGAAGATATTGTTAAATGGGATCATGTTTTGGAATGTTATAATTTTACCTTTTGGACACATCGAACTTTTGGAGGATCGTGAGGATAATTGTTGTTTATGTTAAAAGTAAATCTAAAAATACCACCTCTATAAAAACCTATTAAACGGATCAACGAATCAATTAATAATAAATATAATAAACATAATGAATAAGATGAATACAGCGAATACCGTGAATATAGTGAATATTAAAAATAAATATGCAATTTCATAAACATTAAATTTGTAGAGCATATATACAAACCTTCGTCAGGTGTTATAGACAAATTGAAATTAAGAAGATCGTGCTCATCAGGAAAAGTCATTTGCATTGTTTCTGGAAGTGCTAACTCGGTTAAATCTATACAAAATTATAATAGATCCAATTAAATTGTTATTCAAAATAAGTATGAAAACAAGAGCTGATAACGCAATTAAAAGTCTTCTTGCCAGAGTGGCCGAAGAAAGAAGTTGCGTTTGTTTGATTAGAGGCCGAATAACTAAGACACAACATAAGACGTTTCATCAAACGGAAAACCAAGTCCAAAAAGATAGCAATTGAAAATCCTACCTTTTTGAACACGAATTTGGGCAGCACTTACTTTCGGCTTCTTCTTTTCAGCCGAAGAATTGTCCTTTTTGATCGACCAAATCTTTATCATTTTAGCTATTTGTTTCTGTAGTTTTTGTTGTATCTGTGTTTAAGAAATATTTGTCTACTAAAGAACAAATACAATAGTTTCTTTAAAGTATATTAAAAGAATTACGGTTAAATCTTAGTAAAAAAAGGTATACCTACCAAACAGTTGAAGTATTACTTTTGAAAACTTAGAAAGAAAAGTCCGTTTTTTCCGACCAAAAAAATTTACCCTAAAATATGCAACAATCAAATGACTAACTATAGAAGCCATTGCGTCACTTTCTTGTATATATATTATTATTATGAATTATTATGTATAGAAATTAAAATTATAAGTCTTTTTTTGACATAGGATCACGTAACATTTAATAAAATTATATATCAAATTACATTAAATAAAAATAAATACAAAAATTAGTTCTTATGCTGCATGTATGTGTGTCTAGACACTTATTCACATGGAAAGTTCTTATCATGGGGTTCTGGTTTCTCAGTTGGGCTTTATAATAAAAATATAAATCATTAAATTAAGAATTGCTATAATAATAATAGTCATGAGAATTATTCTTTCTGTAAAATGTGAACCATAATATTAAGGAAATTCTTTTTCAACTGAAATATCAGTTGGACCTAAAAAAAATGAAGAAAAAAAAAGGATTACTTTACAAATGTATAATAATTAAATATAAAAAATATGATTTTTCTTTATTTTTTTTTTTTCAGAAATATAATAAACTCTTTATGATTTAGACTTTGATGAGTGTACAAAAGTAGAGTTCAACTTGTTAACTTGCATATAACTCGTGTAATATAAAATACTATTATAAAAATATAATGAATTATAACCTATATATTAAATTCTGATTTGTTTGATTTATGAGATCAATTTGTTAGAAGTATCAAAAGTCATGGGGCAAAAAAATGTTAATTGTGACACAACGGGTGATCTAAATTGCACATTAGATTTCCCCTAAACCAGGGCTATCATATGATTAAAATTGAATGCTTATACATAGAGAAATTATGCTTCAAATAAAATTGAAAAAAAATAAAAAATTTAATCTTTGAACGTTACCCATACCGTAATTGATAGATTTTAAAGATAGATACCAACTATCTTATATGAAATTGTAGCCAAGAACAATATCTACAACTTTTATTACAACGAAATTTCATAGTTTCTAGTAAAAATTTGGACTTTAATTAGACGTGAATAAAAACGGCCGAAATTTATTAAAAATTTTAAAAAATAAAAAAAAATCCAAAAATAATTATCAATCGTTCTTACATATGAAAGTTTTTTTTTACTAAAGTACTAATAAAAATGACATTGAGTAACATTAAAGCTGCGAATATAAAGCATCATATGCGAAGCATTCAGACATATTTAATTAAAATTAAGTAAATAATTAAAGATTGAATTCTAGAGAATAATTTTGAATGTCCAGTGTTCAACCGTTGATATTAAATTCAATTCGTAAGAAAAAATTCTAAAAATTTCAACAAAGATGCTCCTCATTCTTGGCTATAAGCTTAATTAGTAACATATTTGATAATTTATTAGTAAATAATAGACTTTTATATGTAACAACTTTCGATAGTCAATTTCAAATTTTTTTCAGATTTTTTAAAAAATATCAAAATAAAATGATCAACATTGATTTTTTTCTAAAAATCCAAAAATAAATATCAAAAGTTTCTACATATAAAAGTTTATTATTTACTAATAAATAATCAAATATGTACTAATTAATCTTATAGTCAAGAATGAGGAGTATCTTTTTGAAGTTTTTAGAATTTTTTTTTACAAATTGAATTTAATATCAACAGTTGAATACTGGATGTTCAAAAACTATTCTCTATAATTAAATCATTAATTATTTACTCAATTTTAATTAAATATATCTAGATGCTTGTATATGATACTTTACATTCTTAGCTTTAATATTACTTGATATCTTTTTTATTAGTATTTAAATAAATAAAAAAACTTTTATATATAATAACCTTTAATAATTATTTCAAGAACTTTTTAATTAACAATTTATTTATTAATATTTTGTGGAAAAGCCTTTATTTTCAATAATAACAGCAGCATAATTTGATATATTATTAACAAGATTATTATATTTATCCTTTTCAAGTTTAAACCATTCTTCTTACAAGATTTGTCATAAATCATTCTTATTTTTAAATAATAGTTTATATAACCTGACTTTTTTATTTAATTCATTCTATAAATTTTCTATTAAATTTAAATTTGAACTTTGTGCAGGCCATGGGAAACTTGTAATTTTATTATTTTCTTTCCATTTTTTTATTATTTTTACAGTATAAATTGGAACATTATTTTTTTAAAAAATATACCTATCATTACTTTCTAGTATACCTGCCACCCAAATTCAAAATCCAAATGCCGAAATCCCAAATGCCGAAATCCCAAATCCCAAATCCCAAATTATGATTAGTATTTTTTGCCGAAATCCCAAATCCCAAATCCCAAATACTAGTAATTTGGGATTTTGACGTCCCAAATCCCAAATGATTTGGAATTTGGGCAACACGTATACTTTCTAGACTATTTATAAATGGAAGTAAATTATTTTCTAATATTTTTATATATATTACTGCTGTTATTCTACTTTCTAATCTAACTAAAGGTCCATGTTTATTTTTTGTAAAGCAACCTCAAACTATTACACTTTCTTGTTCTAATTTAAAAGTTAGAATAAGATATTTTTAATCATATTTTTTTTGAAAATTTCTTCAAATATATTTTTTTCATCTTTACCAAATATTTCAAATCTTAATTCATTACTTCAAATAATATTTTTTCACTTATTTATTTAATCTTTTTGTATTTTAATTTAATTTAACCTTTTTATTTTATTTACAGTATTAACAAAAAGTTTTTAGCTTCAATTCTTTCATAAATTTTGTTTTTATAAAGATATCTTTTAAAAGTAATTGAGCTTATATTTGTTAAAACAAAAGAAATAAAATTTTCACATATTTTTTTAATAAAGGTTCTACAATTTTCATTAAGAATCTATAATAAGTAATTATTATCTCTTTTATTTATAATACATGGTTGATCACTTCAAATAGATTTTTTTTTAATCCATTTTTTTTGTAAGTTAAGATAATATTATGTATTATACTTTTTAAATAATTTAGTATCTCAATTATTTTTCTTTCAACAATATCATATTTCCAAGTACTTATTATTTTGCCACATTGAAATTAATAAATTTTTTATATTGAGTAATCATTTTTATAAAATTATTTTTGAAGAAAAAAAAGTATAAAATATAATTTAATTAGTAAATTTAAATTAAAATTTGTAAATTATTAAAAAAATTAATGAGATCTTTTTAAATAATTATAAGTTAAATTGTTTGTAAACAATATAATTTTATTAATATATTGTAATATTCTGTATAATATTATAACTTTATTTTTAACTACATATTTTTTATTTAAATTATATAATATTATAATAACTATATATTTTATTTAAACTACACTGATCAAATTGTAGAAAATCAGTACCTATCATATATCTATCAGATATTTGATAGGTATATGATAAGTACTTAATTTTTAATAAATTTTAATATATCAGATTTTTGATAGGTAGGATAAGTGCAGTGTTATCAAATTTACATGTCTTTAGTTTTTTTAACTGTTCCTATGACTCATGTCCTACTGCCCTTACTATACATGTTCCCAAAATTAATTTTGAATTTTTGAGGTATTTCGACTTTTTGAGATTTATATAGAATCTATTATATATATAGAAATAAAAAAAATATTTAATTATGTGTATTATACATGTTTCCAAAATTGATTTTAAATTTTTGAGGTATTTCGACTTTTTGAGATTTATGCAGAATTTATTTTATATATGGAAGTAAAAAAAGTATCCAGTTATATATATCTTTAATCAAAGAATAAATCTGAGTAGTTAAAAAATTTTGAGTTTTAAATAAAATAATTTTGTTTTCATCAGGAAATTTTTTCGGACATAATATTTTGTAATTTTAACATGATGATAAATTTCCATAATTTTTTGTGTAATATTACAAAAATTTATGAAAATTTTTGAAAGTTATTAAAATATTAAAATTCCGTAATATTATATTCAAAAAATTACAAAAATTTAATACCGTGTTAAAATTCCATAATATTATATTCAAAAAATTACAGAAATTTAATGTTATGTTAAAATTACAAAATATTATATAAAAAATTACAAAAATTTATTATCATGTTAAAATTACAGAATATTACACTCAAAAAATTACGAAAATTTAACATTATGTTAAAATTACGAAATATTATACAAAAAATTATGAAAATTTAATACTGTGTTAAAATTACAGAATGTTACGTTTAAAAAAATTTTTTGATACTGTTAAAGATTTTTGTCTATTAGAAAATCTATTTATTATATTGAAATTTTTTTTTAGAATTTTATTATAAAAAATTTATATTAATATTAAAATTCTGTAAATTTACATCAATACAAAATTCTGTAAATTTACATTAATATAAAATTTTGTAAATTTACATTAATACAAAATTTCATAAATTTATATCAATGTAAAATTTCATAAATTTATGTCAATGCAAAATTCTGTAAATTTACATCAATATAAAATTCTGTAAATTTATATCAATATCAAAATTCCATTAGAATTCCGTAAATTTTTGTAGATCCTGTAATATTATGAAAATTTAATATGGTGTAAATTTTTGAAAATTTTTGCCTATTAAAATTTACTGATGTTCTATGAAAAACTATTTCAACTTTTTTTCTCAAAATTGTAATTTTGGAATCCTAAAATAATTTTGCATGCAAGTATAATGTATATATTCAATCAAAAAATAAATCTGGGTGGTTAAAAAATTTTGGATTTTAAGTAAAATAATTTTATTTTCTATGAAAAACTAATTTGATTTTTTTTCTCAAAATTGTAATTTTGAGGTTCCAAAATAATTTTGCATACAAGTATAGTCTCTACTATATATATTTTCAAAATTGATTTTGAATTTTTGAGGTATTTCAATTTTTTAAGATTTATATAAAATTTATTCTATATATAAAAGTAAAAAAAGTATCCAGTTATGTATATATTCAATCAAAGAATAAATCTGTATAATTAAAAAATTTCAGATTTTAAGTAAAATAATTTTATTTTTTATGAAAAACTATTTTAACTTTTTTTTTCAAAATTGTAATTTCGAAATCTCAAAATAAATTTGCAT